AATATTTCTTTAATAAAATGTAGTGCAATATTTATTTTAAAAGTGAAAGTTTTTTTTAGTATTTTATATTCCAAACAAATTTTTTTTATTTAAGCACCAATCGTTTGGCTTTTAACATATTATCATAAAAATAGTTGAAAATATTTTACTAAAAATTAAATAATGATATTAAATTTGAATAACTAAGTGCTTAGTCTTATGTCTAAATCGATATCAAATTTGTTGTATTTGAAAAATTAAAAGTAAATAGGGATCAATTATATTTTCAGCAATTGAAAACTGCGTGATACGTTATAACTGCTTTCGCAAAATAATTTTTTTGTGAAAAAACTAAAATATTTAATACAGATAATTGGATTACAGGTAATTGGGTCAAATCTGTTGCCATTTGATAAATTAAAAGTAAATGGGAGCCAAATATATATTTAGCAATTGAAAACTGCGTCATACGAATTGTTGTGAAAAAAAATCAAAATATTTAATACAGATAATTGGGTTTTTTTCAACCATTCGTTGTAGATGACACAATTACGAGTACTTACCTATAATATGTAAAGGGATTTAGCACAGACATCATCAAAAGCTTAGCTTCAGCAGTTCTAAGATCCTAAGAAGTCGGTACTGTCATTCAGGACTGGCACGTTATGTATTTACTCAGCCGAAGGTGCCACACCCAATTTCCTATGGTTGCTAAGCTGCCTACCTCAGCGGTTCTGGCGCTCGTGTCAATAGCGAAAAAGAAAAATTACGCCGAGAGCTGTGTTGCTGTTCTTGATGTGTTTTCTCATTTACAGCTAGGCAAGGAGAGGCTACGAAACAAAATACACACAAGTCTTTTTAAGCCCCACGACAGGCAACATTTTCATTTGTCAGTCGCTGCGACTAAACTCTCACCTGGGCTGCTGGTGGTGGTGACTGTGGATGCTGCTCATCCTTGACAACAGCTGATTAAGCTCATTTATCAAAAACGACTTACAAGACAGCCAACAAGGTGCCATTGTATTAAGTTGCTGCTTAAGGCTCCAGTTGCTCAGTTGTGTCGCTGGTGTCTTTACCTTTATATTGGATGGCAATCCGCACAGTTCAAGTCAATATTTATATCAATGTTTAAATTGGAGCTCAGCTGCCAGCGATTCACTTATTGTCGAAGACAGCGGCGCAAATTGTGGCTAGGGTTGTGGGGGTTGGAGGGTCCCCAACAATCATAAAAACTCAAAAGTTTTCGCACATCAATTTGAAAAGGCAAACATATAATCATTAAAGTTTTAATTGCATTGCCCATTTGTTGAAATTGTTTTACTGCCACGACATGAGCATTTTTTTCAAATTTTTGGATTTAGAAGTTCTACAGAGCTTGCAATAGAAGATATTAAGAAAAAGATAAACATCAAGATATTATCATATTTTTAATCAAACACATTTCTTAATGTTTTCATTTGTGTTTTCGAATGTGCGAATCACCCTTCTCAAGGACCACACTTTTACATTGTTTTAATTTATTTAAAACGTTTCGCTGACAAGTTGTAGTTGTAGGGCCTTATGTGGTAAATAAGACTGATACAATTTTGATAGACTGCGTTCAATCTGCCATTGTCCAGTGTATCTATTTTTTTATGTATTTCCACAATGGCCAAACGCACACATTTAGAAAGAAATAACATATCACTAAATTTAACATATTGCCAGATAAGGTACATAATCGAATCTTTACTCAACTATCTTAGTGGTCTGGCCCTTGCAGGAATGTTAGCATAAGGAGCATGAAACTTTTTCGACTGTCTAGTTCGCAGTCATAAGAAATTCACTTTCACATTTATCAAATAGTTGGCAACTTTCTTTCTGCCGACCTGTGGCAATACAACTAACTGGAACGGCAAGCTGCTTACTTTTTGTACGTATGCTGTCTCCAAGGATTTGTGGCAAGTCGTCATTCACTTAGCTCCTGACTTGTAGCAAATTTGCGGAGTTGACAGCACAAACAAACTTTGAATGATTAATCTGAGCATTTGTCGTACAAATTGTTGGCTATTTTTTGCAATCAGTCTTTAAATCGATGTATCCTTTTATTATGCATGTCATCAAATAAGGTGGAATTTAATTTGATGCCTCGACTGAGGCAATTTCTTACGCATTCTGTTTACCGGGGTACCACCTTAATTACATGCCATAATTGAATGCATAAAATACTTTTATCGACCTGTCTGTCCAAATATCCGTAGCGAAAATATATGCTTAAAAATACGAAGGTGATTGACTAGAAGTTACCCTGTGCCGAGTTTGTTTCTCCCTGCTGCATACTACAAAAAAAACAACATGTCTTAAATAACTTATGACTTAAAATATGATAGATTTAAGAATTTTAGAATTTATTTCAAGAATATACCATAAACTACGGTTGACTACGATCAATAATTATCAAAACAAACAAGTAAGAGGTTCTAGTCGGGAGCTCCCGACTAGGGGATACCCTGAACCCTCTTCTTTCAACATCAAATGCATATATACATTCTATTTTAGAAATGTCAAGTTCGGTGACTCTAGCTATTATTATTTACAAAAATAGCCCAAAAAACAGCATATCGATATGGATTTTTATCGATTGGTTGGAAACGGAGTTAGTTATCGATTCTCGGAAACACACTCGATCTGCGCTTGAACTAGGAGCATCTATATCTAAAATTTTCCTAGCTGTTATAGTTTCTGAGATCCTTGCGTTCATACATACGGACGGACGGACGGACGGACGGACGGACGGACGGACAGACGGACATGGCTAGATCGACTCGGCTATTGATGCTGATCAAGAATATATATACTTTATGGGGTCGGAGAAGCTTCCTTCTGCCTGTTATTTTGGATTTTGCACAAATACAATATACCCTTATACCCATTTTTAATGGGTTCAGGGTATAAAAACAACGATAACCAAGCATTAAATACCCTTGTAGACATGTGGACTACGTTTTTCTAGATATTTGCTGAGTGCAATATCAAATATCCAAGCAATATCACATTTTTCGAAAGATTCTATAGAATGATATAGCTTAGATAGATGCTTATAAGCTTTCTTCTTTTATAAGCGGCAAAGTTAAACTCGTGATTTGACAAAGATATCTTGAATGACAAACATTTTGTTTCTGCAAGCACATAACTGTTGACTAATCTTTCCATGGTATATGATATGTCCGGTGAGGATGGCATATGTGCTACAGAGAAAGTTACACGACGATAGCTAGAAAATGTGCTATATCTTCTTTGCTGTTGATACGGACCAAGAATATATATATTGCATTAAATAAACCTTGTAACTAATGCCTATTAAGCCCTATGCCACTTAAAAGTACGGGGTATGGCAACATTAAAAATTCCACAGTCAGTAAACAATGTCAGCAGCGTCTGCGCTGCAGTGAAAAGATTAATTGGAATTCGCAGAAAGTCAACGCGCGGGGAAATATAACGAATGCTAAAAGATAAAAGAGAAACTAAATGTTTCAGAAAAGATAACAAGTAAAAGTGCTCTAGTCTAAAGTGCCCGGCTAGGAAATACGCTGAAATTTCTTCTACCAAAATCAAATGCACCAAATAATAGGGTATACTAATATTAATACAGTTAATTTAAAAAAGTTAGTTCCCGTTGCCGATGTCTAACTTGCTATTGCCTCCACGGCGAAAAATTTCATTTTTCTTGAAAAAAAAATATATACAATGTAATCGCAAATGCAATTCTCAACTCAACCTTTTTATAATGCTTATACTCAACCTTTTCATAATGTTTATAGTGCTTCGCCCGTATCTAAGAAGCACAGGGAAAATAGTTAATGCCGAGTTTGGTCAAGATATCTTGATAAACAAAATGTTTTTTCATACAAAAACTTAATTTTCGAACGATCGTTCCTATGGCAGCTATATGATATAGTGGTCCGATCTTAATAAGATTTTGCATATATATGAGGAGCTTAGTAAAACCAATAATTGCCGAGTTTGGTCAAGATATCTTAATAAACAAAATGTATTTTCATACAAAAACTTAATTTTCGACCGATCGTTCCTATGGCAGCTATATGATATAGTGGTTCGATCTTAATAGGATTTTTCATATATATATGAGGAGTAAAGTAAAACTAATAAATGCCGAGTTTGGTCAAGATATCTTGATAAACAATATGTTTTTTCATACAAAAACTTAATTTGCGACCGATCGTTCCTATGGCAGCTTTATGATATAGTGGTCCGATCCAGCTGGTTTTCACATATGTGCTGCGTGCAACAGAAAGACGGACTTCTGCAAAATTTCATTAAGATAGCTTTAAAACTGAGAGACTAGTTCGCATAGAAACAGACAGACGGACATGGCTCTATCGACTAGGCTGTTGATGCTGATCAAGAATATATATACTTTATGGGGTCGGAGATGTCTCCTTCTATGCGTTACACTTTCACAACAAAATTATAATACCCTCTGCAAGGGTATAAAAAGACATATGGATGTCAGTGTTCACATGTATACAGAAATTCTTGCGTTTTGCTCCTGTAGCCACGTGTCTTGCCAATATAACTTCACGTCTTCTTTAACAACTTCTGACTTTCTTAACCGATCTTGATGATCTTTTCAACAGTAATTCTTATTGTAATATAGAACATTCGTATATTCGCAAGAAAACAACAGTCTCAAAATTGTGACTTAGTTACTGGGTAGTTTCAACTAATTTATTTGAATTGCCATGATGCCGGTAGCCATACAATGAAAGATACTTGTTGTATATAGAAAATATTGCAATGCTCGAGGAATGTGCTCGAGCACTGTAACTGGTGTAAAAGTTAAAGCATATGTATACCCTGATTACCAGAGTATCGCGCACTTGCTGCAAGCCTTTATTGATTATTTATGAGAATGCATAAATACGCCCCTATTTGTCTCATATTTTATATAGCGATAAATTTGTTCATTGTAGTTCATATTGAATAAAAATTATGAACTTTTAAATGAGCTGACAAGTCAGTTTGTTTAAGCTTGAGCTTCGATTCAATTCGCAGGGGTCCCCAAAATTTGCGTAAATGCTTCGCTATTTGTTACTTTGTGTGCTGATAGCGCCCGAAGTATTTAGTAAAGGTGATTTTATATATTAAACAGTTCCGCGCAATCTAAATGTAATAAAAATAAATCACCAATTTATGTCCAGCTGAATGTGAATACAGATGGTTTCAATGCACCAGCAACACAAGACCCATAAATTGCGATGCAAAGGTGAACGAAGGTTGGATTAGGTTGAGTAAGCTGTGCGATGGCATCTGGGACTGTGACGATGGCAGCGATGAGTCCATTATGGCTTGCAAACTGCATCCGTCCCTCCAGCTTGATTATAATTTATATTGCGCCAGCGGAGCAGCATTTGCAAATAATCAACGTTGCGATGGCAGCAGGGACTGTTGGGATGGATCGGATGAGCTTGGTTGTAATGATCTTACCGACGACGATCCTCCACAAAATACTTGCAGGTAAGTTAAAAAAAAAAGAGTGAACTATGCGAATTTTTCGAATTTAATTATAATGAGATATTATTAATAGAATCCCGTATTGTCGCTGTTCAGCTACTCAATAAGTTTCCTTGTATATTTACAGGGATTTGGAAATGGAATGCCAGCCAGGTGAATGTATATCCGTGGAGTTGTTGTGCAACCATCAAGTTGACTGCAGCAATGGTCGAGATGAGTCCCTTCTGCAATGTTTTGAGGAATGTCAGGTAAACCACTTTCAGTGTGGCTATGGAGCTTGCATCAAAAACGATCTGCTCTGTGATAACAAGCCCGACTGTCTGGACGGGGCGGATGAGCTATGGAATGTGTGTGAGGACATTAAAGGTTATAAGCCAACGCCATATCGCAATTGCAGCGAACCATGGGGAAATTTAACACCGAAATTTGATAGGGATACCAAATTTCATGTGGCTCGCGGCCAAAAATATGTGTGGCCCAATGAGCCAGTGCACTTTACGTGTCGATGGGCAAAGCTGATTGGCTCGGAATGGAATGTGTGCCAGTTAGATGGCACTTGGCATAAGCCATTGCCGAAATGTGTATTTAATAAACGAAACTGAACATTATAAACGCAATGCGAATATATAATAAGAACAGCATGCATAAAGAACATTAAATAGAAAAATATTTATTATTTTAAAATAATATTTCCTATAAAAGGAAGTTTACCAAATCATAAATTTAAAACGAAAGTAATTGTTTGAGTTCATTTTGCCTGCCAAACTCGCAATTAAGAAAACGAACAACTGATTGTTGATTTGGGACCCGGATGACTCTACTTCTTGCAAAATGTTGCTCAGAACGTCAGTGGTTTAGCTTAATTTTCTCGCCCCCTGGCCCGTTAATCCAGCGGTCATGATAGCCTTTTCATTCTTTGGGAAATTATTTTGATTAAGAATGGACTGTCAAATAGTATGTAGCTATGAAGTAGCTAAATTCCATAAAACATACTTTTACCAAATACATTAAAAAAAAAAACATTCCATTCCAATCCATTTCACTTGATGTTGCTTTCGTTTCGGCTCCACGCGTCACCCCCTTGGGTTTACTGTTGCCCGAAACAAAACACTCGCTGACGCATGGTGATTTGTTCGAGTCGGGAATTTTTGGGCAGAAGTTTCATTTCCGTTTCCGTGTACACATTTTATTTTGCTGGGATTATGCGGCTATTTTTGGGGACAAGTTTGTTTGCCCTTTTTTTTGTTATGGAGTTCTTTTTTATCAACTCATTTCTGCCTGAATACACAATACATACAACTAAACCTCTCAGCGAAAACTTACATATTTATATTTAGTTTCGTATTTTATAGTGTTGACCATTTTTGTTATCCTTTTCGTGTAATATTTTTGGTTATTCTACTTTTGTTCACTTGAATGAGCCCACTTGAAGCAGCCTTCCAAATTGTGTATTCGATTTATGCCTCAAGTTATGCTAATTCCCTAAATTCCATTTGTGAATTGCTTATAATTCTCTTCGATGGTATTCCGTTTTTAAGTGGGCGTATTTCAATTTATATGTGCACATCCACATCCAAACTGTATTCGTTTTTATGTAGTCTCTTAGTTTATTGCAAACAAAGTTCTTCGCCTTACAAATTTGTGTTTGCGAAAAAAGATAAAAATGGCCAATATTGTACCTTATTTTTTGTGTCACAAATTACAACAAAAGAACCCCTTGTTTGTACACACAATGTCTGTATCTCTATATTTAAAACTGACTGACTGACTGGCTGGAGAGACACGAACACACACTTCTGTAAAGCTGAGGTCTATACTAAAATAACCTTATGTGATGAATGAGTACTCTTAGAAGAAACTCTGGAAAATGCCAGCTGCAAGTGTTTTTTTTAATCGAAAAACCGGTGGTGCGAAACTTTTCTGCTTACCAATCGATTGGTATCAAAATTGTAGATCTTTTTTCAAGAGGTGCTTTATACATTTCGGAATATCCAACCCTCCTTGGTAGTCCACTTGGTGGTTACAGATTTGGCGGGTGAAGATTCGGGCTAAAATTATATTTTTAAAACTTTTCCACGGGCGGAAAATGATTGGAAAATGGACGGTTACAATTTGGAGCAGAAAGCAAGTATATTAGTATATATCGTAACTATTGTAAGTTGGTATTATTAACACGTAACCATTTGGACATTTTTTATTGTGGATTTGCGACAAAATGATTTCAGTATTTATTGTTCTGAACAATTATGTATGTACATACATGAAATTTACGCAAAGGTTTTATGCAGTTGTAGGCTATAAGTCACAACTGAGGCAAGTAGGTGGATCATATAAAGAAGGAATGCTGTTATAATTGTTGCAGACAGTACATATTCCTCAGAAACTAAATATTCCGATCGGCGATGGTGTATTATAGTGCTTCCATAGAGCGTTAGGGGTAGCATGTATAACAAGCTCCATGAATCAACAAGCACCATCAATACTGGCATTTTGATGGCAAACACAACAACAACCAGTAATATATAAACGATGATAAAGACAATTGTTGTAACCAGCATGGTCTTGTAACCAGGCAAAAAAGAAAGAGGCAGAAAGGCGCCCATCAGATACAAGAACAGGTTAGTCGCTAGAATTGTCACCACAATGATGGTGGCATACATAAATTTTATCGTGGTCCAATTGTAGCATATAACGCACAGTGTCATGGACTCCACAGTTACAGTGCCGAGCGTCCAATTGATGGGAAACTTGTTGAACAGCTCGGTGAATACTAACAGCACCAGGCAGACCAGGGCGATCACTAGCCACATGAAACTTGGCACTGGTACTATCTCGTGCAAGTCAAACCTCGCTGCCTTTATTAACACTAGTTGACCCATGCCAATTCCCGTAAACAGGCTTGCGACAAGGTAGATCCTTTCCAAGCGAATCGCCTCGTGTGTGGTCACATAAGGCACTTGCTCAAATTTAGAGAACTGCTCTGAAAGTTGCATGATGACTGCCTATTTACCTTTATTTCCCTAAATTATACTATCTTTTTATATTTAAACGTATTTATTTTTTGACATGCTTATCAATGTGTATCAAAACCTACAACTTTTGAGTAAAACCCATTAGCTGGCTCATTCACACATAGACAGCTGTTGAAGTGCTCACACTAATCAATAAAACGTGCTGGGCTGTTACCTGTCTTACACTTTGCCATGTTGACACATGCCCTCTGACCTGCTCCTTGCTTTCTGACAGTTTTTGCCTACAAGCAATGCGACAGCTGGGCTGAATTTTAATTGGCTTTTAGCGGCAAAGCAAACACACGTTTAAACGTCAACAAACACCGCAAAATGTCAGAAAGCTAAGAAATGGTTTACGCCCAAAAGTTCAAAATTTAATTAAATAAACATGGGCGAGCAAATGGCACAATGTCTCAAACGACTGCCTCGAAATGGACAGTTAGGTAACTTTCAATTGAATGGGTCAAGTACGTATTTATTAATAAATAGAAATTTAAAAAAGTTCAACGAACCAACTTCTATTTATGCATATGTAAAATTCGGTTATACACAATATTACCAACATTTTAAATAACCCCTGAATAGTTCTATTTTATGTTTGTTAAATTTATGTCATTTGGGAAAAATACATCGTATTGCTCCTTTAAAAATTAGGTGCTATTGCCAATAAGTGGGCAGCAATTTGAATGCGGGAAATTCATTGACAGGAAAATTAGAGGAAACGGTGAAATTAATCATCGATTATTAAGTAAAAAGGTTTTATATTTTTGACAAGCAGTGGTTAAAGCCATATGCGATATAAGTGGTATGAGTATCATGATGACATGCAATTTTAATTTAACAGGTAGACTATCCGCCTGTTAACGGGATTGTCAAGATCAGAGTAGAATATGAAAATTATGAATATGAACTGTTTGCTTGTGCATCAAAACTTGTATTTATTCTTACAACACATTAAGTGAATTTTATGTTTATGTTGCTTCCTTCAAATAATGCATACGCATACTAAGTCATCTTTATTAACACCCGCTTATATTATCATTGAGGATGAAATGCTCACAAATAGTCTGTATTATTTGTTAATGTTTCGAGCTTAATGTCATAATAAGCTTGGCACTCAAAGCCCATCATTGCCCATCAATCAAAAAACGAACGTCCGCAATTTCTTACAATTTACAATAACAGAACACAATGGCAGCAATAACAAGGCTCTAGGAGATTTGTGCATAGGCCCGAGGAGAATGATAATTTTCACAAGCTAAGCTTACAGATTATGGTATGAAAGGTTTTTAGATGTAAGCAAAATATGATGATAACAATGAACGAAAATACACCAAATTAGCTCAATAAAATGTAACCTCAATTGTTGTTTTTAAATAATATTAAAGCTGATTTTAAGCAACTAATCATGGAGTTTGACCATAACTAAAAGTTGTAATTAATGCCATGTTTGCCAAACTATTATTAATAAGTACGTTATTTACTAAATGCCCGCAACGTTAAATTTACCTTATCTCTTTTAATGTTAAGTTGCTTGAAGCCAGATTCATGCAAATATGTATTATATTAAACAAAGCTATAAATTAATTTCTAGAAGTATGCGGCTTAATTTACCTTGCTGCATTTATAGAGTGCTTGCAGAAATAATAATCCGTGCCGCAAAATGTTAGTCGTTAGATTATGTATTTCAACTTTATAAAGTCGAAGATGAGTTTGTTTGTTTGATACATACAATTGCCCAAATTTATTATATCTGATTACTCATTTTAATTGGAAACGATATATATTTAAGCCAGCCTCATTATTTTGTACGTTTTAATGAGCGAAATGCATATTTAAGTATGATGATTTAGTCAAATTTTGAACAAATTTACATAAGTTCTTAATTTTGTATTTCTGTATAATGAGGGCATTTATTAGAATTTTTATTTGCTAACTACCAGATGCCTTTACTTACAGCCTACGTTTGATATCCTATTTATAAAGTTTATTAATTGGTATGTTCCAACCTACCAAAACTTTCATTTGTTTGTGTGCTGGCTTTCCTGTTGGAAAAACAACGGTCTACTTCTTCATCATGGAACTAATTCAATGACAAAGTTGAGTAAGTGTTGACGCAATTTGTTATTGTGCGTAATTCTGATAAATACACGTCAGTCAAGGCAGTTGATAAATTATGCATACATATGAATGGTGCTTGATATGATGCTTTATGTGGTTAGCACATCCGAATAGCTGCCTATTTCGGATAAGTGCGTGCCTAAGTACAAATATATTTCATGTTATATTTAGAAGGGGCCATCAAAATGGTCATGAGAGCTAACAGATGTGCACTTGGTTAGCTAAAAATACATGCGCTAAATGGAGTTTTAAGTTCATGACTTAATATCGCTTTAAGTGCACAAGAATTTAATTCTGGTTATTTAAATGACAGAGCTGGTAATGTTTCACATCACGTATACGCAGCGTTAACCACATCATCCGCGCCTTTTCAGCCACGTGACATGCAACTGAACAAATAAATCAGTGAGCTAATAAATTTTTAGCAGCGCCTCAGTGGCAGGCCAAAACGCGAGCAATACTCGTATAAATATAAGCGCCAGCGAACCATTAAGAAAGCGAAAGTTAACAGGCTGCCAAAGGAGCTAAGGGCTGGGACAATGGTCGGGATCTGCGTGCACCCCAACATATGGGTATTTGCAGCATTTCCTCTCTTTCAATTGAATCCTGGCGCGCCATACTGCGTATACGTGTATTTTTCCGGGTGTGTGCGTGATTTTTCTGTCTTTTCAGCGGGGACCGTTTGAATTGCGCGCCGCTGCCTGCGTTGGAATATATTACATTTTATTATTAAAGGCTATATCCAGCACCTGCTCTTCCGCTCCGCACTTGTTCAGCTATTCATCATTAATTGCAATTTAGGCTTAGCGGCAGATTGATTTCAAATTGAATTATACATATTCAACACCGTGAGCTACAAACTGATGTTTATAACATATAGGAAATATTTTCAACAAATCAAAAATATTTTTATGTGGAAATGCAAAACTAATAATTATTTAAAGTGTTTGTCTAATTTGTCTAAACGAGATTTAAACTCAACGGTATTTGGTTAAATTTCCAGCATCTATTTTGCAAAGCCAGCGGATTACATTTGTATATCAAAATACTTGAGTTTTAACTCATAATATATGCAAACGAAAGTTTTCACTTGAAGATAAAAATGTATTTTTTACACAGTTTGCTAAATCTTTTAATGGACTTTTAGCGTTTTTACTAATTTGTTACTGATTTGACTATCGAAAAGTTATATAATCAGAACATTTCGAGATTTTTTATGCATCAAAAATAAGCATTCGAATAGGGATGAACTGTTTGTATGCCCGGCAACAAACTTGCAACTTATTAAGAAAATTAATTTGATATCAAATTCTGTACACTTCCTATCTGTGCTGCCTGTTCTAAACTTTATTTCATTTCGATGGCTTGCACAAATTATTTTTTTTTTATGCGTGCAAAAAAATAATAAAACTTCTTCGAATTTCGTGTTTTTGATTTAAATGAAATTGCGTTTAATTAGAAAAATTGTTTTAGAACTATTTCATGATTACATTGCTCTGACACGTGGCAATAGTTAAAGAACTTTGTTCTTTGGCATTTTAAATTTAGTATAAAGTTTACATATTTTTTGCCAATTTTCGTTGGTCACGAGCTTTAAATTTAAAAGCAAATGTATGTATACTATTATGATGCTTTTAGGGTTACTCACGAAGTTTTCGCATTGTACTTTTGTTTTTCCTTAGGTGCATTTCTTAATTGTACTTAACAGTTTGCTGGCCCTTGGTCGGGCTAAGCACTTCGCACCCTGCTGCATTTCCCAGGAGCAACCGCTACTTGGCCGTTATTCGGCATCTACCAAACCAAAAGAATTTTCATTTGTAGTCCTGCGCAGGACAAATCATGTTATGCTGGCCAGCAAAAAAAATTGCGTAAAACTGATGAAAAACAAAAAAACGAGAAGAAAAGCCTATCTTCGGCACGCTGAAGATTTAATACCCTTGCAGACCCAACCTTTTCATAATGCTCATATTAGTTTGCCCATATCTAAGAACCACCGGGAAAATAGTTAATGCCGAGAATGGTTAAGATATCTTGAAAAACAAAAAGTTTTCCATACAAAAACTAAATTTTCGAACGATCATTCCTATGGCAGCTACATGATATAGTAGTCCGATGTTGATAGGGCATTGCGAATATATGGAGGAACATGGTAAAACTAATAAATTCCAAGTTTGGTTAAAATGACTTAATTAACAAAACAGTTTTTTATACAAGAGCCAATTTTTCCTATGGCAGCTATATGATATATCCGATCCAGCTGGTTCCGACATATGTACTGCAGGCAACAGAAAGAAGCACTTCTGTAAAGTTTCATAAAGATAGCCTTAATGCTGAGAGACTAGTTCGCATAGAAGCAGACAAACGCGCAGACGGATATGGCTATATCGACTCGGCTGTTGATACGGAATCAAGAATATATTCTTGTATATATGTATATATATATATAATACTTTATAAGGTCACAGATATGTCATTCTATGCGTTACACATTTTATGACAAAATTATAATACCCTCTGCAAGGGTATAAAAGTGCGAAGCCACGGCAAACGGGAAAAAAGATGATATAGAGCTGAGGTTGAAAATGTTTGGGAATATTTTCTGTGTCGTTCGCTGGAAATCCATTTCAACATGATGTGCTCAGCAGAGCTAAAAAAAAATTTACAACTGTTGGTTCTTGTTGGCAGGATGTCAAAGAAAACAATAAGACAGATGACCAGAGTTAAACTCTTGGCAACTTCTACTCTATTAACTTGTTTGCATCTGTTGCGAATTAAATCAAAAAGTAAGCTTCTTTGCTTTGCCGTTGGTTAAGGGAAATCACTTGAAAAACTTAAGTGCTTCAAACGATCGTTCGTCCTGTAAGTTTCAGTATAATAAGATCGTATGAAATGTAATGTG